TAATATTCCCCATATTACGTTTTGATATCTAAAAGCCTAATAACTTGATAAAAAATGTTAATGTTTAATATCTTCAAGGCTCATTATGCCTCCGAAATGTTATCAAATTCGTTTCTTCAGTTTTTAAACATCTCAATTGCTTAAAATCTATTCTAAAAACTAGTTAACAAATGATTGAAATTTCTAAACAATTAAAAATAAACCTGAATGACTTAGAAGAACAACAACAATTAAAACTTAGATGTAAAGCCAATCTTCATGTGCGCATGCTACTATTCCTTGACTTATTTCATACAAAGAAATACCAGATTTATAGAATAGGACATATTCGAGTCCGTATTTTTTGTTTTACAGACATCCAAAAATGACAAATAACAGATTTCACCCCCCCCCCCGCCCCAAAGAAAAAATATCAACCTTGAATGATTGACAAATTCAATTGAACGGAAGGACAAACAGTCTAATTTATGTCGTTTACTTAAATGTTTGTTCGTAATTCCACAAGCTTTCAAACTTTACAAAAAAGAACCTCCCTCTACGCTAACTCTTTTGTGCCTTCATCATTGAATAAATGAAATGAATTACTACTCATTATAAGAAGTACAGACTCATTGCCCAGCTTGAAGTCTTTCTTATAGCAGTGAAGTTACAACACAATTCCTTATTCTATTAAGATGACTGAAAATATCAAGTACTTCACGTGGGACTCCGAAGAATTTGAAGCTCTCTCAGTCAACATTTATTTTTAACGAATATTGTCCAATCACCCCTTCGTCACTGTGTTAAAATGGAGTCAACCTACCACTATTTTTATGAATGTCAAATATTAGATAACATGAGAAACATTCTGTTAAATAGAATTTCAAATATTATAGCTCCTTTGTAAGAAGTCATCTTGTTCGAAACGAAATACAAATCAAATGAAGCAAATGAGATCATATTTTCTACAGGTCATAAATATATCAAACTATGTAAGAGGTTTAAAACATCATGTATTGAAACATCATTTATTCAATACAGCAGTCGTTTTACACATTTAATTGTATTCTCAAAAATCAGCTAAAGTAATTCAGTTCTTGTATTAAGATATCGTTATAATTACTACATATCTTACCATTTATTATATATGATTGAATATGTATGTATCCCTCAGTTTTGTTCCACATATTATATGAATTCAAATATTAGATAACATGAGAAACATTCTGTTAAATAGAATTTCAAATATTATAGCTCCTTTGTAAGAAGTCATCTTGTTCGAAACGAAATACAAATCAAATGAAGCAAATGAGATCATATTTTCTACAGGTCATAAATATATCAAACTATGTAAGAGGTTTAAAACATCATGTATTGAAACATCATTTATTCAATACAGCAGTCGTTTTACACATTTAATTGTATTCTCAAAAATCAGCTAAAGTAATTCAGTTCTTGTATTAAGATATCGTTATAATTACTACATATCTTACTATTAAGTATATAGGTTTAAATATGTATGTATTCTTAAGTGTTTATTTCCAACATATATTGTGAATTCATTCACATTGTCTCAGTAGATTGATGCCATCATTTTGTTGTAAATTTAAAATAGAGTCGAAGAAGAACTTTATAAGATTTTATATATTTCGTTCTAATCAAGTTTAACATTGTATATATTGAATACATGTATATTACGCACTGTGTATGACTATGAATACATATGTTTAGATATATACATGTATATTAAATTTAACATGAAGGTAAATGCTTATAAGCTTATGTTATACAAATATCATATTTGAAGGATACATGTTAAAACCAAATAGAACACTTCAATAATAAATGAATAACAATGTACTGTTCTAAACATGAAAAAGCAACATTTAACTATAATTATGCTCTAATTCAATTCTTTCAACCGAGCATAAATCATTTACAAGCTTAAGCCCTTCAACTTACATATACTACACTACAACAAAGCAAATAAACAATTTATATTCAATTGGCTTAGAGCGATTGTTTCAGCGTCGAATTTTAAAGTACGGGACAAATAACGCTATTAACTGAAACGAAACTGAATTACAATCCTAGATTTTTAGAAACGCTGAGAATCGAATTAACATCCTCAGACACATAACCGTCCTACGCATGCTCACTTTTCCATCCCCCGTGCTTTTTAATAAGTCTATCACATACATTATTAACAGCGTTTTAAACTGCGAGTTCTATAATCATTAGCGTTTAAGCCTACTTCGACAAGCATCTCACGTAACAGTTCCCTAACTCGAGTATAAGATAAGCAACCTCATTTCTTCAATCTAAAAGAGTTAGTTTTCTTACATGAAGGTAAAGACCGAAAAACATGCTCTTCACTATCGTTTGATAAATCAGCATTTGAAAAATAAAGTTGTAATGTTGTATATGGACATGTAACAACAGTTGATTTTGAAATAACAGCTGAAGAACCACGACTTAACTGATCAGTTTTACTAGACCGTATGTACAATAATAAGTATGCGGATGCGGATGCGCAGGCTGGTCTGAGTCCATGCTGGTCGCAAACCCATTATGTTGGTTTTGTCGTGACGCGGCTCAATTATCATCATTGAATGTAATAACATCAGTACATCTTAAATTTAACAGTTCTCCGATCCTCAAAATCCTGAAAACCCTATGATTACAATTGAAACTGATCTTAAATGATATAAAGAACAATTATCTTTGTCATGTAATAAAAACATATCTCCAATAATTTCTGCAAAAATATGTTTTTTTTTTGGTTTTTTTTTTTCACATGAGCATATGTCCTGACCCTTCCGGTCATACTTGGGCCCTTCCGGCCATACTTAGGCCCTTCCGGCCAGACTTAGGCCCTTCCGGCCAGACTTTGGTCCTTCCGACCGTCTACCCATGAAACTTAATAGTCCTTCCGGTAATACTTGATTACAAATTTAACGTGATAATTATTTTAATGATCTGGAATCAAGTTTAACTGCCAAAACAAATCCCTTTAACTTTCTAGAACCAAAAAGAGTTCTTTTGTTTTTACCATGAACATTTATTTTTCTGTCACGAAATTCTAAGACATCCTTAACATAGTTTTTCCCTGTAAAACTGTTATCTTCAAATAATAAAGGCCAGTAATCAGCGGACAGCCACCTTAGTACAATCAGAACACCCATAGCTTTACACTCTTTCGCGTGTTTAATTGTTTTGCAGACTCAACTGACTAAACTAAACTTACCATTTATGAACCTTCTGTTCGCTTTATTTGCTTCATTGCGCTGTTTGATAATGGACGCAGCTGCTTTCTCAGCCTTTTTAATTCTCTTTTAATCCTCATCATCGCTGGCTAAATCGTCTTGCTCATATTCGTGTACAGTCAACCAACCACTAGGTGACTTGTCTGCCAGTTTTATCAGTTTATTGCGACGTTCAATCTTTTTCTTAGCAGTCTCACACAACTTGAGCGCCTCACTGTGTTCCCCTGACTCAATCAGTCCGCTAATTTGAACAATGCAATCCAACAGCTCACAGTTATGACCCAACTGTATCTGATTCCCTTTGTTTTTCAAAACAGTGGATTTTTGAGTTTTTGCAACACTTCCTTTGCATATCTCTTTCTTAAAAGCTGCAAACTTAGCATCAAAATACGATTTTATGTCATATTAACTGTCCGAGTTCATTCTTGAATTTAAATGTAAAGTTAAGATAAAACTCGTCTGAACAGCCGAAAAGCAAATCCTCGAATGATTATTTTACACACCTATAGTACATATACATGTATCATACTTTTCACGTGCACATCCCCGCCAAAATCAAACACAGGCGACAATCATAACCCAGCTCAACCATGTACGCGGTAAGTTGCCTGGCAACGTGTGTAAATACATTAATTCCGTTGTGTTTATTGGTTTATCGAAATAGACATTATGAACACAATAAATGTCAGATATGTATTCAAAAGTTAGGTGTTAAACATAAACACGGGTTAGGAACAAAAAAGTAAACAAAGTTAATTACAATAATTTTCCTTCATCCCGGTTGTGTAAATGGACAGTGCTATTCCTAAATTGATTAAACTCACTAACTAACTTAAGACTGAGATAATAAAAGTGATGACATACTAATCAACCAAAAATGCACAGGCACTAAACTGTCTTATTATAGTTAAAAGCGTCGACGGCATAACTATCATATATACATCGAGAGTCGGCATTATACGACGAAATATAAAGATAACTTGATCTTCAAACATTAGTTTGGTAAAATGTAAGCTATAAATTTTCAGTCTACGTCTAAGAAATCTTGCTGACATCGACTCGCGAAATCATTTTTATTTATTAATAAACGACCTGAAAAAACGTGACGATTCATGTACAGGTAAAAGATGTAAGATAATTTGAAAGAATTCTCTTCTGCTATCGACATAAATATCTATATGCTACCAATTGTGTCGATCTGTGACTGTAAAAATAACAATCCCAATAAATTGATGAAAGCTTGAGAGTAACACATCAACACATAAATCTTAAGCTGGCTATACTGTCATTTTAAAATATCTCTGCATATCGATTTCCTATAATTTAAAAGTTCCGTTTGCTTCTTTAATATCTAATAGTAAATAATCTCAAACAAATAGTGCCTTAAATGATCAAAATCAAAATACTTTAAAAGCTTGTTTGTATATATGTGTATCATTTCGAATAAAGGTTTAGAAAAAGATGGAAGAATATAGGTGAACAGAATTTACCTCATTGTTCAATTTGAATCTGAATTCATAATGTCTATAGCTTATAATGTCAACCTGCCAACTTTTAAAAATTAGTCGTTGAAATTTCAATAAAGCATAATTATGACAAAATGCGATCAACATAATTAGTTTCCCTACACATACATTGTAAGATAACCTTGAGGCTATAATTGTGACGTATTTCGTGAAATAAATACTTCGATAAAATAATAAAAGATATACAGCATAGTTTAATCGTTGCAGCCGTACTTCAGCACAATATCTTTAATCATTTCACATGTACATGCATCACCTAAATTGCATTGATGTCATACGTAAAAAAATATATATTTAAAACCTATTTAACGTATTGTGTAAAATCTTTTGATTGTAGTCAAAATGGTCGACTTTCCTTCATTTGTCTCGAAGTTGAGCATGTACATTGTATACGTATATAGTTCGTATTAGTTTATAAATAATAAGATGAATCAAGTAGTATGTATTAAGTGTCTTTAATTTGTCTACAGTTTTCAAAGAAGGCTTTCGAGAGTAAGGCACAAACAAAGCCAATTATAACATTATAACAATAAGTATGTACAAATCATAATTTCTATCACTTCAAGTTCCATAAAAATGTATATATGAACGTTTTTTGCCATTATAAGCAACATTGTTACCAATATAAAATATATGTGTACCTTACACAAACATAAATTAGATAATTAGAACAACACATTCAAACTACAACAATTCCTCATTTAACAACATCAATAATATGTGATTCGCAATATAAATTTTACATAAGCTGTTTAAGTATCAGTTTTTTTCTGTACTTTTCCATGAAAGACTTCATTAAATGTGTTTTTAAACATTGATTCTATCATGCATTTATCATGAATTCACATAAAATCTAAACATTACTATAATAATATGATATTTTGCCGACAGTTTATGCCTATATTTTTTATGAGTATTACGTTTAACAAAATTAATAATTTAGTAACATTTCATGAATCAATTTAAGTTGATAGTTTATATTCTTATATTAACGTAGTCGGAAGTGTCAGTATTAGGTACATTTGTATTTTTTAACTCCATGTATGTATTTGGCTTCCGGGTTGAAGCGTTGAGATGTTCATATGTTATATTGAATTCATCATAATTATTGATTTCTCTCCTGCTTGCATCCAAATCTGTGTACGTGGATGAGACATGGCTCACGGCAGTAACACCTAAATTAACGAGTATATATTAAAGGTATCGTAAATCAACTATGTTCTTTCTAATGTTTGAGCATGTATATATTGTATGAATTTGTAACGTTTAAACGCAGCAAACCCTGTGTGCCTTAAAAAAGTTACAAATTAAATATAACGAAAACTCTTTAGTTTCTTAATGATAATGATAATAATGAATTATTGAATATTAACACCTCACTATAATCATCTATAGTACATGTGTTATATTAGTTAAAATGATTTATGATGATATTGGGCCCAATATAAACGGTTGTTAATATAACCCGAGCCGCTAGGCGAGTGTTATATCGCAAACAACCATTTATAATTGTCCATATAACTTGTCAGGAATATTTATAATACTGCAAACTTCCTGTTTAGAGGAAACAGGGAGCTTATTTTATAAATTGACAGCAGCCGTGCGTATAAAACTATATAAACGTCACGATTGTCCAATGGAAAGCGATATTACAACCGTGCAGTGTTATAAGTATACCAATATGAACACTATACCATAGCAAGTTATATAACTTATTTAATACATTTCGTGTTACAACTTATACACGTAACAGCAGGAAAAAAGTAAGCATGCAGGCAGGAAATCAAGCGTTTACTTTAACAAATTAATGTTTGTTACCTGGTTTGGGACTTTCACGATGTGAAGATCTTATATTTCTGAAAACACAAGTTTTTGTTAAGCGCTATTAGTCAAAATAACAATAGCAACAGTGAACAGAATTTAACTATATATTCATTACATCGTTAATAGGTACTGAATATAATGTTTCAATGAAACCTGTTATTATTATATTAGTTGGGTTTTTTTACTGTTGAACTAACAAACAAACAAAAATCACTGCCACCCAACCCACGAATCATGGGTTGAGCCCTTACAAGTTTACTACCATGTGTCTTCATATAATTCAAGTCCCGCTAGTTCAAGGAAGCGAAAATAAAAGTGATTTATATCAAGATCTGCTCTGTAGAAAGGGTGATTCCTCAAAAGTATACATCACAACAAAATTGCATGAAAATTGCAGGTTTTGTTTGTTGAAGTCTTTACTTGGGAGAGAATGAAAAGTGCAACATCCCTCACTCTCGCTAGCAACGAGAGGTATTCAATGTTAAACACTTAAAACTGGTGAAATCAATGATTCCGAAGGACCTTAAAATATAACGATATATGTGAGCAATAAGGGGGCGAATGTTTAAATCTGCCATATGGCACTTGACAGCTGCTGTTGTGATGTATAAGTCTGGAAAAGGGTGATCCCCCTGCAGTATTAATCACAACAAAACGAGAAAATGGAAACTGCAGATTCAGTTTGATTAATCATGTACATGATGAATAATCAAAAAAGCAACACATTTTGTTTCCAGAACTTGCTTTGCAATCTAGCTTGAAATGAATGTGTTAAACGAAATATATAAGACAAACATATAAATCTGCAAAGTAAAAAAAAAAACAAAAAACAAAAACATTATAAACATTCTGTTTCTACATAATGCTGATTCAAATGTAGCATAATAATATGTTTCCCTATCGTTTTAAAAAAAAACAATACATCATGCAAGCACGTCTTTATATCCCCTAATGCTTCAATGATCGCATTTTGTTTGAATTATGCGGACATTTTATCATTGAATTTACTAAAACGTTCTTCTAGAGTTCCATTGCGTTTGATTAATACATGTATATTTTCTTTTGTTTTAGTCATTGCAAATTACATTAATGAAATGTATGATTAATTTTTTAAAAAATGTATTGATTGATTGTGACTCACATTGAAGCAATTAAGCAATTGGGGAAATTGTAGAATACATATAAAGTAATTAAAATAAAATTAACACCAGTATGCCATAAAAGTTATACACCATAGTTCAATCTTAACACTTTTAGCGAAATAATAAATACAGAGCAACATATATGACTGAATTATTTTTTATTACCTTCTTTTTAAGAACAATACAGCTACAAGGATGCTCACAATCATAACAACAGCAACACCTGAAATACTACCACCTATAATGCCAACATTATCGGATGATTGTGAATCTGCTGTTTTAATGTTTACTGAAATATAAACATAAATAAACCAAGGAACACATTTGTAACACTGCGTACAAATCATACAAACTTTTGACCATTTATCTATCATTTTAATTGTTGCATTGAATGTCAGCAACAGCATTTTTCCTTTAACTTAATTATATATACAGTTTGTTTGTCTAGAAATAAAAACTTATCGTTTGAACTTTGCTTTGCTTAACCTTCATGTCTCATTGTTAAATGCATAAAGTGTATAAAAATCAACGTCAAAGCGAACAAAACAAACGAACAATTATAAATGCATAAATGTCATCATTTTGTAAAATGATTTTAATCTTAAATATATGTTATGATAAATTAGCAAATGTATATTATCGACTTACTTTTAGTGGTAATCTGAAGATTCTGGGTAAAGGAAGAGTTCCCCTTTTTATTCATTGAAAACATTGTTAT